AAACCTTGCCATAAATAATTAAACCCTTTAATTATCCTTCCTCATCTTCATTATTTCTTCAATCTCTAGCTTACACAATGTACAATCTATTAGGTTCCTTTTAGCGAGGCAGTGAGCGATTATAACTCTTCATATCGATTGTGAATTGAAACTTACTTTCAATTCTCCCTTTAGTGATTATACATGTTTAGGGCTTCCACAAACCATTAGTGACACCTAGCAGTATGTCATGGTTACCCAAGCTAATCAGAAGAGGTGGAGAACCTATTCAGTTTAGGATTACAATGCAATACAGTCTTTCTTTAATACAATACTCTTGACCACATTGTTTGCTTTGATAGTTTATTCATGTCTACTATCCAATGTGATTCTTTTACTTATATGATTACCTTGAATGTGATTTGGAACAACTTCCTAAATCTCATTCGTACTCTAGCCAGAGATTCTTAATCATATCATAGAGTATTCTCCCTCAAACAGTTTAAAGGTTAGAGATCCCTTGTTGCACATTCACTTGCCTCCATGGCTAAGTGGCTTAACCCCAACTATGTCGTGGACACCCTCTAATGGAGGGACTTTGACATAGTTAAAGATCAAGGACCTAGCCACAAGACAACTATGATGCCTCAGGTCAAATGACTACTTTGCATTATCCCAACCATGAGTTTTCATGTGACATGAGTATGAGAACTCCTTGTTGATCGTGTTCAATGGACTCATTCTCTATTGAGCACCTACATGCTTGTGTTGGTGTCAGTCGCACCAATGACTCAAGACCAATCATTCTCCCTAAGAGAAGACATAGCACGCACTGATCTTAACGGACTGTCATGCCCAATTGGCAATCCTATGATCAGGAACGTTTAGGATATGTATACGAAAGAGAATGGTCTCATGTATCTAACTTCTTTAGATCACATTCTCCCAATTGCAAATTCCTTGGACTTATTGTTTAAGCATATAACATTTATATGAGAAGGCTTAAAACAATAATCTTTTCCCTTTATATTAAAGTAGATTACTTTAACATGTGAAATATCTGTAAAGTGTCATCATATGATTGGTTTTAGGGCACATTTCCAACATTTGTTAGATTAGATGTTAGATTAGTCATCGACAAGGTTTGAACTCACACCATTATGTAAAGGCTCAACACCCTTCCACCACTGTGGTAAAGGGCCACTTACAAAATAATGATATATTAATATAAGAATTTTGAATAAATATACAAAATATAAAATAGTAGTTTTCACAAAAGTATTTTCAGATTCGTAGTTCCATAAAATCTTCATCGTAACTCCCATTTTGATTTCGTTGACGACTACGCATTCGTAGAGTTGAGTACTTTGAGAATTTGGTGAAATAATGTTTCTTACCTCTCACCATACACTGGTTAACGAAGGTCAACAATCTCACCACTAAGGGCATTTTCGTCAATTCACTCTTTTAAAATTAATAAAATCGTAAAATTAGGTACGGATAGTTACAGTTCTTGTGTAAGAGAAATTTAATAAAATCATTATGTAAAAATAATTACCCCCCCCCCCCCCACACACACACACATATATAATATATAATCTTTTTTTTAATACAGAGTATTACAATTTTCCTTTTCTTCTGGCTATCATATTATTCGTTGAACACATACAGATTGTGCTTGGACTAAAGTTATTTGGCAACATTTTATTCCACCTCAACTATCTATTTTGGCTTGGTGGCTTTTTCATGATAAACTTCCTACTAAAGGTGCACTACAACGACATGGAATTTCTTTGGCGTCCATTTGTTGTTTATGTCATAACTCTAAAGAATCTATTATTCATCTTTTCTTCGGTTGTCGGATATCTAAGCAACTTTGGAGGTGGTTAGCATGTCCATTTTTTAGATTCTTTGGTTGTTTTTTGAGATGCTTACGTACTTAAGCCCTTCTCCAAACAATTGCATAAGCTCTGGATTTTTGCAGTCTTTCTACTATTTCAAATATTTGGAAAGCTCAAAATAAGTTTATTTTTTAGGGTCGCCCAATATATTTTCATCGTTTTTGCTTGTCTATCTACTCTAGGATCGTGCATGGTGGGAAGTTTATTCCTGATTACTCTCAGGGTTTTGACACATGTATTATTTCTTCTTTGGGAATCCAACCTATTCCTCGTAACGCACCGACTGTTCTTCCTATGCTTTGGTCTTCTCCTTGGTTTTCATGGATTAAACTTAATACAGATGGTTTGTGTAAAGGAAATCCTAGTCCTGCTACTAGTGGAAGAGTTTTCAAGGATCGTCATGGTCAATTTCTTGGTAGTTTTTGCTAATAGATCGATCATCACAACTCTTTCTTTGCGGAATTATCAGCAATTATTGTTGGTATAGAGTTTCCATATCAGTTGGGTTGGCATTGTATTTAGTTGGAAAGTGACTCTTCTAGTGTTATTTTTGCTCTCCAATCAACTAATTTTGTTCCTCCTTAGGCCCTTGTACACAATGGTCTATTAGTTTGGACCGCATTCAGAAGGATGCTTTCTACACCTCTGACATATATCGTATCACATCCTGGCTTGGGCCCCCACCATATCCTGGGCCCGACTCCATCGTAGCACGATATGGTTCACTTTGGGCCCGAACCACACCCTCACGGTTTTGTTTTTGGGAACTCACACGGGAACTTCCCAGTGGGTCACCCATCATGGGATTGCTCTCACACGCTACTCGCTTAACTTCGGAGTTCTAATGGAACCCGAAACCAGTGAGCTCCCAAAATGCCTCGTGCTAGGTAGAGATGGGAATATACATATAAGGCATACATTCCTCTGGGCGATGTGGGATGTTACAATCCACCCCCTTAGGGGCCCTGACATCCTCGTCGGCACACTTCCGGCCAGGGATTGGCTCTGATACCAAATTGTCACATCCTAGCCCGAGCCCCCACCACATCCCGGGCCCAACTCCACCGTAGCACGATATTATCCGCTTTGGGCCCCAACCACACCCTCATAGTTTTGTTTTTGGAACTCACACAAGAACTTCCCAATGGGTCACCCATCATGGGATTGCTCTCGCTCGCTACTTGCTTAACTTCGAAGTTCCAATGGAGCATGAAGCTAGTAAGCTCCCAAAAAGCCTCGTGCTAGGTAGAGATGGGAACATACATATAAGGCTTACACTCTCCTGGGCGATGTGGGATGTTAGATATCGTGAGGGAAACGTTGTTGTGGACAATTTTGCTAACATGGGCTTGTCTTCTCCAACTTTGGTATGGCATAATTCCTTTTCGGTGCCGGCTCGTGCTACTTTGTTTTTAGACTATACTGGCTCTCCTGGCTTCCACTTCTCAAATTAATGTGCACCATGGCATACAAGTTTGTGTGACTTTCTTATTTTCTTTTCTTAACCTGTGATGTTGCTTGATCTGTTTTGCAGGTTTAGACCTTTTAGGTTTGGCTTTAGAAGGGTTAGGCTTCATGTCTCCCCTCTTTTCCCTGTATCATTATTGTTTTCGTTTCTAGAAAGGTAAGGTTTATGTCCCCCCCTTCTTTTTCATGTATTTTTTCCCTTTTTTTCTTTTACTATAAGGAATTAGGTTTATGTCCCCCGAATTAGGTGTAACTTTTTTTTCATTATCAATAAAATTCCCTCGTACCATCGAGGTTTACCAAAAAAAAATAAAATATGCAGGGCTATAATTCTAAACGGTTTATGTTTAACCGTTTCGGTTGGAGATGACTTAATAGACCTTTTTCAAGCATATATTTTTCCTTTCTCTACTGTACTCTACTTGGAGAATCTCCTCCATTCCTGTCACCCCCTTAAAAAATCATGATTGAGATAGAACAGATCAAAATGGAAAAAATTCTAATATCCACTTATAGAGTTTTTTATCGTTAGATTTTCTATTAAACATTCAATGATTAAAATTTAAACGGCTAAAAATACCTGTGTATGCATAGAATACAACTGGGCATATTAGAAAATCTCTCAAAACTATACCACAAGTAGCATTGTCGAGCTTGGGATTCTCGAGTCCGAAAGCTTAAATTGATATTCTTACATTACATGGTTTCACATGAACATGCTAAAAACAGTACCAGCAGTCGATGTCATAAACAAATTTTTTTTGCTAGACTTGAATCGATTTCATAAAACCAACTATTTTGTGGTCTAAAGCTGAAAAACTAGAATAAGCACAAAATAATTGAATTTTGAAAGTTCTATCAGAAATTTGAAGATCATTATATCAAAACATATCACAATGAGAATAAAAGTAACTCCAAATTATTATAGTTTTCCCAAACAAAATCCAAAACTAAAGCATCCACAACTCCACAAATAAAATATAAAAACATTGATCAAAACAAACCCGAAAGTATGGAATTGGATCCATTCTTAAACATACCATCTAGAGCCTTGGGATAAAAAAAATCTAGACCACACAAATTAAATTTGACAATTCTGATTAACTCATTTCACTGACCTACCTTATACAAACCAACAATTTTAATTTCTTTTCCACACAAATTAAAAGCCCAAATTTTTTTTATCCGTAAACTCAAAACACTAGGTCCGAAATGGATCCAAATTCCAAAGTATGATTCCAAAACTAAAATGAGCCCACATCCAATTAAACTCTCCACAAATAAATAAATAAATAAATAATTTGATCAAAATATCTGAACCAAACAAATCAAAGTAACCAATGCTCATCACACGATTCACAAGCCACATACAGTACGTGGGCCCATTCTATGCTCTGTCCAAGAGCCCATACGACGATTCTCTTTCAATTCCTTTTGTCAGGATATAAGGAAATTTCACATTTTAATAGTTCATCGTATATTATGTAAATAATTTTTGTTAGTTAATATTTATATTTAATTTTAAATAGTAAAATTTAAATAATTTTTAACCGCATAATGTACGATAAATGATTAAGATGTGAGAATCCTAACAATTTAGATCGGGATCCAAATCCCCTAAATACGACATGTCGTTACATAAAAGAGAGACCGAGCCCAGTGCGTGAGTGGAGCACCAACGAGACTAAACCACACAGTCCGGGATGCGATGCGATCAAGCATTGGGAGTACGCTGTTAAGTCTAACAGCCACGTTTCTCCGGCGTCACCGTTTCTCAAATCCGCTGTCGTGTACTCTCTTTCCATCTTCGCCCTTCTCGTCGTCTTCTTCAGCTCCGAGAAGCTCCGCCGACAACTCGGCCAAGGACTCGGCGGGCAGTGAGTTGACTCGGTTGGCGACGGTGGTGGAGGGCTGCGACTACGAGCACTGGCTCGTTGTCACGGAGCCTCCTAAGGGTTACCCACTTCGCGACGAGATCATCAATGGCTACATCCAAACCCTAGCCACTGCCCTCGGAAGGTAAAACCTGAATACACTTTCCGGGTTAACGGATTTTGGTTGTAAGGTTCAAACTTGGAAGTACATTTTAAACACTTCATACTTTCAGAAATTGGCCGAAATATTTATTTTCCAAATTTTAATTGATTAGTTTTCAGTAGATATTATATCGTCAATATTTGATCGCTATGTGGTTGATATTTGATCGCTGTATTGTCGAAATTTGATTTTAATCAGCTCAACAGCAGTTTTGATGTTTCTGGGACCGATCGTTATTACTATTATATATACACATATATACAGGCATATCTCATGGATTTGTTTGATAAACTTAGTGTTGGTGATAATTGTAGTGAAGAGGAGGCAAAGAAGTCAATTTACTCTGTTTCGACAAAGTACTACTTTGCATTTGGCTGCAAAGTCCCAGAGGATTTGACTTTAAAGATAAAATGTAACTTCCTGCACAACTATTTCAATTTTCTTTTGTTTAAGTTTTGAATTTGTTATAAACATGATTGAATTGTTTGCAGCTCTGCCTAATGTGAGATGGGTTCTCCCAGATTCTTACTTATGTAATGGTGAAAATGACTATGGAGGTATTCTTTCTTGCTTTTTTTCTTCACTTCTTCAACTTCTGAGCCTAGGACGTGCTTAGTGTGTGAATACGAAGATTCACTTTAATGCCGTGTTTAGTTACAACTTACAAGCCGACCCTTAAATGAATAGAGAGGATGTTCGAGAACGGTGATTTGAAATATTATGATATTTATACGAGTCATTCCAAATAAATGCAAGATTACTCATCAAGAAGAATTAGAATGTAAGCTGCCAACTTATAGCATACTGTGTAGACTCATCTAAGTGATGTGAAGCCACAATGCATGATTTATTTCTGTAGGAAAACATCGAAACCCGATTTATCTTTGATTCTTGTTCCCCAAGGAAATTTTTATTCCATGTTTCCATAGGTAATCAATCTGCATTTCTGAACATGTTCTTGGTTCTGGACAGGAGAACCTTTAGTTGAAGGGGTTGCTGTTCCATATGATGAAAAGTATCACGCAGACTGGGTGCGTGACGAAAAATACAAGGCTTAATCACACCTATGGCCCCTGGATTAGCACTCTCGGCTACTTAATCCCGATCAGGCTGCTAAAGTTTCACCTCCTGGTGGTGGAAGCGGAATCTTTTTATGAGAATCAACTTGCATCAACCCGAATGTGTGACTTTCGTTTGAAATGGACCGTCTGAGGTCATCTCTGGGGTCATAAGTCTTCAAGCTAAACCTAGTTCTAGCTTAAGCATTCCCACTCAAATCTAGCTAGAAGTTGCAGTGCATTTTTGTAACCCCAACCCAATTCTAACCCTACTTGGTTCAAATTGGGGATGGGATGGATGTACACAATTATTAATATATATAGAACTTTTCTCATTTTTTTAATCATTAGTATGAGTTATCGTATTATTATATTATTAACTTTGTATCGCTTTGCTTGTTCATCAACCTGGTCGCACGACATTAATACAAATGAGTAGACCCGAACACGAGCCGGGACCCTTGCGGGTTGCTTACTGTGGTCATAAGCAATAGCAAATTCAAGTCTTTCCAAGGACCTTCATGGTTGCATCAGTAAAACTCAGCCTCTAAATTAGGCCAACTTGGGATTTCTTGGCCTTAAATCCTCTTTCCAAATAGTTTTGGTGGATTATTCAAACCCTTTACTTGTTGCACTACATTTGAGCTAATTTTGAACACAAAGGATGAATAAATGGTAAATTGACTCGGAATATCGAATGCAATATTTTCCACTCCAGAAGCAAATGGAAGGTTACAAAAGTGAGTCCATAAATAATTTAATCAACGTCATCCTTTCAATGACCTCATGCACAAGTCATAATTTCATATTATTATATGAATTCTGAAATAGTTTTTTTTTTTTTTAAAAATATGTGAAAGCATAGAAATTTAAAGCTGAAAACTGAGTATATGGATTATCTGTATTCCACAAATAAAACAACTATAATGTATTCCAGTATATATATTATTTGTTTAGCGTATTTCTGGTTCTATTTTCGATTAAACGTTTGTAATCAGTTCCGTTTGTGTATTATATCACCCTTTTTTCTCTTTTTCTAAGCATGTGCATCCTTCTCCCAACCAGTTTCAAGAACTCTATATAGTGCAGTATCAGAATAAACGGTACTAGACCTAAATGGCTTAATCCAGTTTCTATACCGATGACCTTTTCGGCTCCTGTGGCGGCCCTTCGCTTTATTTTCCACCAATTTTTATTCACCTGTGCTCTCATTTTTCACCACATCACAGTCAGCTCGCCCCTCTCGTTCATCCCTGTGCACACAGACTTTGTTTTCTCCCACAGTCGGAACAATGTACACAAAGGGTCCGATTGGGATGTCATTAGTCAAGTCCATAAGCGGTTCCAAGGACTAGACAACGCTGCTCATTGTTGGTCTACACTTGGGGTTGTGGCTCAGGCATTGGTGAGCCAATGCAGCCACTTTTCTTGCCCCTATGGTCGAGTACTGACCCTCGAGCCTAGGGTCCATCACGCGGTCAAGTTTATGTGAGTCCTTCAGAAAAGGTTTGAACCGCCCCACTAGGTTCTGTTCTCTACCATGCCGGCTATCATCCACGGACCTTCTACCAGTTAGTAGCTCCAAAAGAACTAAGCCGAAGCCATATACATCACTCATCGTTGTTAAATGGCCTGAAAACAAAGAGTGTATATTTAGGGGTGTGATATACACACACCTCATTTTACTTCTCACACAACTTTTTTATTTTCAGCCATCGGATCGGATGAATTGAAGAAGATCAACAGACATAAATTATCAGGGGGTGTGTGAGAAGTAAAATAGAGTGTGTGAATGGTAGAGCCGGCTATGAGGGTATGCAAGAGGTGCCACCGCACAGGACCCCGGATTCGGAAGGGCCCCCAAATTTTCTTTACATGTAAATAGATACCTATTATATACTTAAATGTGCAAGATAATAATAATTACTGTTCCAGCACTAGTGGTGTAGGCTTTCAATCTTCTTGTACATTGCCTGGGTTTGAGTCTTTGTCGAACTATTTTGCTATTTTTAAGTTTTGCAAATTTATTAACTTAAAAAGTTGATTAGTTTTACACAAAAAACCATGCAACATATTTCAAACTAAAGACCTTTCAAGACAGGAAACACTTTTGTCCACCCAAATACTACTTATAATTTGGTGCTCTAATTTGTAGTATTTAAATTTTATAGATACAAATTGAAAAAAAAAATAACAAAGAAAATACAGTATTAAAAAGATGAAGGACCTCCATCTAAATCTTGCACAGGGCCCCTAAATTCTCAAGGCCAACCTTGATGGATAGCACACCCCTATATTTAGTGAAATTCTTAAATTTCATGCTATTATTTGTACCATCTTAACTGAACGCGTATTTTAGGGTTTGTGTGGGTAAATTTGTTCAAAAGATGGTCGGTTGAGATAGTACTAAGAGCACACTACTCAAAATATCAAGTTGCATTACCTGTCATGACATATTCTGGAGCTGCATAGCCATGAGTTCCCATGACACGAGTTGCAATGTGTGTTTTCTAAAAATGGCAAAGTGTATGTATATAGAAAGAATCGATTTCCAACTGATTTGAACTATCATACATTTTACAATACTTATACATAATAAGATCAAAACTTTACACCTATACTACATGAGGAGAAAGCTTTACACCGATGCCACATGCAGCAACAGCACACATGTTCTCCCTGCTGTCCAGGTGCAACAGCATAGCAACAGCACAGCAACCACATGCAACCTTCCTTTCCAGAAGTTAATGTCCTCCCTTTATGGAAACGATGACTATAGTTGTAATGATGGCAGGTACATATACCCATGCTTGCCCACTAAGAATCTGCATGTGGAGCATCAAATCATGGAGTGGATGAACAATTAATACAAGGATTTCAACACTCCCCCTCAAGTTGGAGCATGAATGTTTTGAATGCCCAACTTGCTGAGAAGAGAATGAAACGATGCCTTTCCTAGTGCTTTTGTAAATATGTCGGCCAACTGATGTTTTGAAGGTGTGAACCTTGTTGCAATCATTCCTGAATGTAACTTTTCTCGGACCAAGTGACAATCTAATTCGATATGTTTAGTTCGCTCGTGGAAAACTGGATTAGCTGCAATGTGTAGCGCTGCCTTATTGTCACAATAAACATGAGCTGGAGCTGCATGAGAGACCTGTAAATCTTGTAACAGATAACGAAGCCACGTAAGTTCACAAGTGATTGCAGCCATTGATCTATATTCTGCCTCTGCAGACGATCGTGAAACCGTATGTTGCTTTTTAGTCTTCCAGGAGATAAGTGATTTCCCCAAAAACACACAATAACCTGTCACAGACCTTCTAGTCGTTAGACATGATGCCCATGAAGCGTCACAGTAACCACTCAATTGTAAAGCATCTGTAGATGGAAAAAATAGACCTTGTCCTGGAGTCCCTTTGAGGTATTTCAAGACTCGCATAGCAGCTTCAAGATGAGGCTTGCGTGGTTGGTTCATGAACTGGCTAAGATTTTGGACAGAAAATGTGATATCTGGCCTCGTTATGGTGAGGTAAATGAGTCGTCCCACGATCCTTCTATATCTGGTTGGATCCTTTAATAATTCACCATCTGTTGGCCTTAACTTCAAGTCTTGTTCCATGGGAAAATCCACTAGACATGCCCCTAATAGTCCAACATCGTCCAGTATGTCCAAAACATATTTCCTTTGTGAGATAGAAATGCCTTGCTGTGAACGAGCCACTTCAATCCCAAGAAAATATTTGAGAGGTCCGAGCTCCTTAATACGAAACTGATGATGAAGAAATTGTTTTAAACGTTGAATGGCATCATGGTTGTTCCCTGTAATGATCATGTCATCAACATAGATAAGAACCACTGTAATGGAATGCGCAGTAGTGCAGGTGAACAATGAATAGTCTGCAGTTGATTGTTTGAATCCCACGAGTTGAATAGCTTGAGAAAACTTTGAAAACCATTGACGGGAAGCCTGCTTCAAGCCATAGAGGGATTTATGGAGTCGACAAACCAAGTTCTCCCCCAGTCGACGAAGTCCAGGAGGTGGAGACATGAAAACTTCTTCGTCCAAATCACCATGGAGAAAAGCATTCTGGACATCGAGCTGATGGAGAAGCCAGTGGCGTTGAGCAGCCACGGCCAATAAACAACGAACAGTGGTAAGTTTGGCCACGGGTGCAAATGTTTCAGAATAGTCCAGGCCTTCAATTTGCGTGTAACCTTTAGCAACCAAACGCGCTTTATAGCGCTCGATGGAGCCATCAGAGCGATGTTTGATCTTGTAAACCCACTTGCTGCCGATAGCACGTTTTCCAGGAGGCAGGGAAGTGAGTGTCCAGGTATGGTTCTGTTCAAGTGCAGCAAGTTCAGACTGCATGGCAACTTGCCAATTAGGATCAAGGTTGGCCTGAGCAAAAGAAGTAGGTTCGATGCTACGAGTGATATTATTGATAAACACTTGATGAGATGATGATAAATGCGAAGGAGAGAGATAATGAGAGAGGGGATAGCGAGTACCTGACCGCGAAGAAGAAGTGGACGTGGAAGGCGCCGTGGTGACCTGTGAACAGTCATAATCCTTTAATAAGACAGAAGGTTGCTTGGGGCGGAGGCCACGACCAAGGGCAGGTGGTGGGGTAGAGCTGACAGGACGGGGAGAAGGAAGAGAAGATGGAGGCGACACAGGTGATAGTGAGAAAGGGACGACAGTTACGTAAGGTGAAGGAGGAGAAGTGTGCGGACTAGAGATGATGGGAGATGAGGGTTCTTATGGAAAGGTGGAAGAATCTGATATGGTATCGGTGAGGGGAAGAGGAATGACAGGCACAACTTCATCAGGTTGGGTGTCGGGAGGATGATGGGCAAAAGGGAAGATGTGTTCATGAAAAAACACATCACGACTAGTAAAAAATTGATGAGTGTGAAGATTGTAGAGACGATACCCCTTTTGTCCAGAAGGGTAACCAACAAAGAGACACTTGTGAGCCCTAGCATCAAACTTGTGTTTAGGGGAGGTGTGTGTAGCATAACAAAGACACCCAAAAACCCGTAAGTGCATATAAGTGGGGGGGCGTGTGTAGAGCATTTCATAAGGTGTTTTTTTTATAAAACAATGGTGGGTGTGCGATTGATAAGATAAGTGGCAGTGAGAAGACTTTCTCCCCAAAATTTGAGGGGAAGGTTTGCTTGAAAACGAAGTGCGCGACCTACATTAAGGAGGTGTCGATGTTTACGCTCCACCATCCCATTTTGTTGAGGTGTGTGTGGGCAAGTATGTTGAAAAACAGTGCCTGAGTTGGCATAAAATGAACGCATGGATATGAATTCTGCGCCATTATCAGTGCGTACT